TACGTATGTGTGGATTCAAATTGCATGTTAATATTGGTTTCACATCAACATTCCTTTTAGCATCAACTTTAGGGTTCTTTTTTTTAGCTATCCTTTTTTTCAAGAACCGCCTAGAATTTTAACTAGAAAAATAAAATGATTTTTCATCATCTTAATTAAAATAATCAACCTTCCAACCATTGGCATACTATAATGATTTAGAATATTTTAAAAATTATTTTAAACTTTATTAAATCAATATTCAAAATCCTAATGATACATTGTGAACGTTAATGAAAAATCCAAGTGATATATTCAATCCAAAACATATCTAGGTACATCGAGGATCAAGCTCGAATTTAGAAATAATTGCTATTCTTTTACTCTTAATAAATAACTATTCATATCTATTACCACTAAAATTTATAACTTTCTTTATTCAATACAAGAAACTCGTAAAACATATAATACAAGATATAAAATATAATTCCATTAAATTTTCAGCTATAATATGACACAAGTAATATATTATTTTAGCACATTCCATTTTATTTATTAAATATTGAAGTTCAAATTTTTCATATTTGCACAAAGGATAACCAACTTTATAGGTTCAATTCTCTTAATATAGACTAAATTCATACGCGCATAAGTTAAACATATAGAATCATAATTTAGAAGAAAAATTAATCAAAAATGTTACTGAAAAAGAGAGATTTGAGAGTGTAAAACTGCTGCCACGATTCACAAAATTTCTGTAGCTTTAAATATTAAAAAAATTCATAGCTGATCTCAAATTTTATTCAAATTATGAAATTTTATTGCCTATGAAAAAATTATTATATATATATATATATATAATCATAGCTTTTGTGACAAAAGAAAGTGCAGAATCGCTGAAAAAATTATTGCTAAAAGAAATTACCTAGATGATACATTGTTGAATTTCTTTTTCGGCATATTCTAGGAATTCTTGGGCCAAATCTTAATGAAATAAATTCATGTACATGCAGGGTGACTAAAATTTTGAATATAATCCTAAAGTTTTGTAAGTACATAATTTGGTATTCTTGGATTTATAATATTAATTATTTTTTGCTATTTAAAGTGCTATAAATTCTTTTATCAAATAGATTATGACCGTCCGATTTCAAGATAAATACAACTAAAAAAGAATCCTAATAGAATCTTACGAATCTAATTATGGTAATGGGATTAGAATTGGTACCAATTCGTAATGGTAGTGCACCAAAATTAAATGTCACTAACTTCATAATTTCTGGATTCAAATTACTAATTCTCAGAATTTTAAAAATTAACTGAATGACTTTATTTATTTGATTTTGCTCTCTAGTAAGCTATAACTGCGTGACCTTGTTTTGTGTTCAAAAGGTGTGTGGGAGACCACTGTTCCTTTCATTTTAATGGAAATGTGGGGAGGGAAGCAACTAAATTTAGAGCGGACAAAGTCGGAGGTTTGTAATCCAATCACTAATCTATCAGTGACAAGGAGGCTTAAGTACAGTGCGAAACATGAACAAGTAGCGTATAAAATGGATCAGGAGGCATTCCTGTGCTTTAACCAATCTATTTTTTTTTTTTTTTTAACAAGAAAACAGCTTTCTGATAAAATTTAGTCTCCATCTTCAATACTAAATTCATTATCCATTACTCTTGCTCTATGTATGTCTTACACCTGCACATACCCAGAAGATTTAATAGCTTTAGAATTCATTTCTTTGGAGAGAGTTATCTATCACGCTTAAGTTTGCACATGTGATGATACCGTACCCTTATCTCTTTACAATGGAATCTTGTCGAGAATACAAAGATATACAAGTCATGTGGGAGATAATTCAATCTTCTTCTCCTGCCAATTCTTAAAACAACAGGAAGACCAGGATGTCTCACTTTGGAGATTCTGTTTAAAGCCAGCTTGAGAATTATGTTTTTCTTAATGTTCTCTGAATGGGAGGAGGGAATATGAAAATGGCATGTAAATATCAGCAGCCGGTTTGGGACTAAAGTTTTGGTTTGGTTTTGTTCATCCCAGAAACTTGTGTATCATGATTCTTCAAAGATAAAGCTCGAACTTGAAAGCCATGGAAATGATCAAGGGGTTTCAAATATTATCCAGATTCCTACAGGCTAAGGCATCGTATTCCTCAATCTTTCACTATACTGTCCCAAGCGTTCACCAATCATGCGATAATAAAAGATAGACTTGACTAATATGTCACATTTCAATCAAAAACAAAAAAGACGTCAAATTCCAGCACAAGAAGCATAGTCCTCAAGCGGCATCTCCCCAGTGGAGAAGCATCCAGTCAGAATGTCATCGTTTATTTGCTCTTTGATTAGTATGTAGTACTAAATATTCTTTATTTTCCTTATATATTTAATAATGTTTGATGAGTTTTAATTATATCTAATGCTAAAATAATATACCAAAAATCATATATAACAAAATATAAAACATAAATATAATATATGCAATATTTTAAAATTTTGAAGTTTCTTGAAGATATATCTTCAAATAATAAAAAATGAAATAGTTTTATTTCATTCAATATAACCAAAAAAAAAAAAAAAATCAATTCTAAAAATTTTAACATCAAATAATGTGATCAAATAAAAACAAAATATTAGTTTTATGAAGTAATATAAATATTTTATATATTGTATATTATAACTAGTTATATATATATACACACACAGGGAAGGGGCCTGACAATACAACGTGTACATGTACATACAAGTAATGCATGTATTGTATTTTCTGAGGGAGAGGATCAGTATTCAATAAGTAACATGGTGACTTCAGAGGCAACAGGTTGGGAGCGGCAATAATTCAAGATCAATCATCCAGATCAAAGTTTATGCTCTGATTCAATAAGCAACATGGTGAATTTGATTGATTGTAAACTTTTAACTTGAAAGTCATGTACCTAATCGATCACAGCTTTTCAGTACTATCCATATCCCTACACCGCCATCTGTTACTACACTAGCCCAAGATTTTCACCAATCACTGGACCAATATACCACACATCTATCTGACAATATCAACTTATTATTAGCCTCCAGTAACCCAAATCTTGAAAACAGAAATACCCCCTAATTCCAGCACAAGGAACAGTTTTACATCATAATGAACAAGAATCGATTTATTCATCAAGCAGCAGCTCCCCCGTGAAGAAGCATCTGATCGAAGTGCCAGACTGACTCGTGCAAGGCCATCAGAAAGGAAGCTTTTAAGCAAAGAATGATTACAAATATCACAAGCAGATAAAAGGATTGCTGTAAGATTGTAAATTTGGAGGGAGTTGGCATAATATTTACCGTGGCCTTTTCCGACGAACCTCAGTTGACTAACATAGTCTGATATCTTCTTAATGGCTTCAACCTGTGTTGCAAAATGCATCAATCACACTCCAAACAATTCGTGACTATCATATTTAATATAGAATTTGTTTGTTAACTCTCTGTTGTTGCCCCATGGACAGAATAGATTGTGGATGTTGTTCTAATGCTTAAGTAGCAAGGCACACTTAAGAAATTGTAATTAAATCTACCTAACAATTATTCAAGCAACTAATGAATCCAATAGGAAGAAAATCAAAGCTTCTATACTCCCTTGCTCAGTTAAGAACTCACTCTCAATGAAATCTGCCATCTGGGGTTCATTGTTCCGATCTGCAACCTGTTATTCATCAAGAAAAGGGGTGTCCCTCATTAGGACACCATGGTAAAGAATAAAAAACACACAAAAAAGAAAAAGAAAAAGAAAAATACTTCAGCAGGCCCAAACAGAGGGAATAATGGTAACGGAAGATTCAAGATTCAACAAAGTAACAAATCCATTTTATTAATTGAAGTTAAAACACAAGAGAGGGTGAAAATATGTTACACTGTGCAGGTTTAACAGTTTTTCATTTGTTAGCTTCTCCAGAGACAGTGCCAATTCCATAGCTGGATCAACAAAAGGGAAAAACATGGCAAGTTAATATTATGTACAACTGGTTGAACATGTATTAGCACAAGAATACCTATTTAGTGTAAATAACTGAAAAAGAGAGAGTAAGAAACTTACCGTAAAGTGCCTCTCCTTTCTCTTCATGCTCGAACTCTGAAGGTGGCATCAATATGGAGGGTAGTTTTACTTTCCCTCCTCGCTTGTTCTAATTATAATGATTAGTACAAAAATCCACAGGAAACCAATAAGAAAATCCTAAGTTTAAAAGAGAATACTTTCTCAAGTAACTGATATTCCATCAATTTTTCTGCGTGTTGTCTTTCTTCTTCACTAGACTCCTTGAAAAATCTGATAGCAACAAGACCATAAATCACCAAATTGTTTTCACACAATTCCAGATAATACACATCGAGAAATTGAGATATTGTTTAAATTACTTGGCAAGCCCTTCCAGAGCAACATCGTCCCTATCGAAGTATGCAAACAGGGAGTGGTACACATACGAGACATTGTATTCCACACTGCCACAAAGAACAAGGAAAAACCATAAACAACTGCATTTATATACCCCGCTTCGATAGTTTCTTGACTAATGAAATTCGAGCCGGAACCTAAAGTCAAAAGCAAATAAAAAGGGTAAAAGAGGGAGGTTATTACTTGATCTGCTCGTTGATTGCTGCTTCACACTCGTCTGAAAATTTCTGGCGAGCAAGCGAAATCTGAGGGAGATTGGAACAGGAAGAGCGTCCTTGTTAACTTCTGCAAATGGCTGGAAAACTACGCCTGTTAGTGGCGAGTTATTGAGCTCTGTAGAGACAGATACCATGAACCCATGTCCATACTTTCTGTGCACAAAGGGCAGAACAGAAGAAGAAGAGGAAAAAGGAGCAGAGAGCCTAGAAGACGATAAGTTAGAGGAGCCAGGGAGAGAAAAAGCTGAAGCTTGTCTCAGAAACATTGCTTTGAGTTCTGAATATAAGTAGAGGAATTATCAGAAATGGAGATTGTAAATCAGAGACTGGTGGTGGCGGATGGAACGTGGAGGAAGATGACGTTGTTTATATACACCAATACGAGGGCTTCTCACATTGAGTACCACGCTGGCAAGGCTCTATTTGAGTCGTTGGATTAGAGGACACGTGTATGGTGGATATTAAAAAAAGAATCGAAGGCGTGTGGCGAGCTCATGGCTTATCCTAAATACCAGCGTGAACACGTGAATATCCGTTTCACGTCAACATCTTCAGTATTAGAATTGTTGACAAACACCCAGTCGCTCGAGTCTGGCCAATGCTTCTGTACTCGCGGCTTTTCAGCAGCACCTGTGTGATTTATTTTTATTCTTATTTAACTTCATTTTAAATAAAAGCTAAAACTTATTCTATACTTCAAAATCAGTTTATTTTGATGAAAATTTACTTTTGAAAAAATATTATAAATTTAATAAGCACGAGCATTTAAATTTAATAAAATTTAGAAATAATTGTTTGTATTTAATTTGAATAATATATAAGTGTACTAAAAATTAAGATGTTGAATTGTTTACACAATACAAATTTATTAATTTATTTATATATTTTTTCCTGTTAATTTATTTATATTTAGTAAATGTAAAACCTGTAAGCTAGTAATTTTTTTCACCTGGCTAAAAAATAAAACCTTAAAAAAGGTCAAATATAACAAATTGTATATATGGGAATACAATTTTATAATTCCAAGAGTTACTCCATTTTGCAGAGGTTGCTCAAAATTATATTCAACAAATATCTAAATTTATTATTACAAAATTTTATAAATTGTGTAGTTTATAGATTGTTTCGTTACTTAAATGCATAATGAATTTTAGAAAGTTTATAAAAATTATATTGAAAAAAAAAATTCTAGGTGTTAAACCTCATGGATTTAGAGAATTATAAAAATGCAAAGAAATTTGAAAGTACAGCTCGAGAAAGAGTGAGCACTAATGCTGAAGAGATTTTTAAAATGAACTTTCTAGATTTTTATTAATTGATTATCTCAGTATTTATACAGAGAGGAAAACAAAACTTTCAGTGTTTATAAATAAACCTTATTATTATAATATTTACAAACTAAACCCAATATAGTAGATTAATTATAATCCTAACAAAATTTGTTAAGTATTCTAATAGCCTCCCTCAAGGTGGAGTACACAGATTTTGTATATCCATCTTGGATATAGGATTCTGAAATGGTGAGCCAGCTAAAGCTTTGGTGAAATAATCTATCAACTGATGATAGGAGGGAAATGAAAGCAGATGAATAAAATCTTATGAAAGTTTTATG